CTCCTGCCTCAGCCTCCCAAGCAGGCCCCACTCTTCCAAGACAGTGTTTATGTTTGCCATCAAGCACTGGGCAGCTCCAGAGACAGGAAGCACTGGCCCCATGAACACCCCCCATTTACAGTGCAAGGGGAGGCCTCAGGGTCCCTGCCCAAAAACCCCGTGCAGCCCTCCCCATATGGGCCCCCCCAGGCAAGTGGGCACTTGTGGGGTGATAGGAACTGGGTGGGGGCAGCCGGGACAGCACCCGGCTCGCTTGTCACCATGGCACCCCCAGGACGGGAGCAGTGGCAGGGAACCCTCACCGCAATCGTCTTCTCCTTGATGCCTCCCACCGGCAGGATCTTGCCCGTGAGGGACACCTCGCCTGTCATGGCCAGGTCCTGCTGCACAGGCTGGTCCAGGGCTAGGGACAGCAGGGCCGTGACAATGGTACAGCCAGCACTGGGCCCGTCCTTGGGAGTGGCGCCCTGGGGGAACAGCAGAGGTGGGTGGCCATGGCCACAGTGGGGCAGTGGGCGGGGCGTGGGGCAGGGCTGACCTCTGGTACGTGCAGGTGGATGTGTGAGGTCACCAGGTAGTCGTTGCTGGGGTCGCGCTGCAGCAGGAAGGCCCTGGCGAAGGTGTAGGCGATGCGCGCGCTCTCCTTCATCACATCCCCCAGCTGGCCGGTCACCTCCAGTGAGCCGTCCTTGTTCTCCTTGCTGTCCCTGTCCCTCGGCCGCCGCAGGGATGTCTCAACAAACAATGTGGAGCCTCCTGGGAGAGGGGTGTGGGGTGCTGAGCCCTCCAGTCACCGCCAGGTGGCAGAGCCAGGACATGACCATCGTGTCACATTGTGCGCCCCTCAGCTGGCCAGCACTCAGGCCTGGAGCCCACCCCACCCCGCCCGAGTGTGCAGGGTCCCTGCCACTGAGGCCCAGGACCATGAGGACCCAGATCCCACTGCCAAAGCCGGCTCCCTGGGGTGCCCTTTCCCTCAGCCTCCTGGGCGGTGCCTCTGCATGGTGCCTCTGCATGGTCGTCTGCTGGGGATCTCCCTGGCCAGTGCGGTAGTCACCCCAAGCCCTGGGGCCTTGCCCCACACTGCCCTTCAGTGGGGACAGCAAGCTAAGCCATCAGCGGGTACGGGGCTGGAACTGTCTGGGGTGAGGCCAGCTGGGGTTCCCGCTGTGACAACTGGGCTCACCCAAGGCGGTCCAGGCCAGGCCCATGACCACGCCGGGCGGCGTGGCGTCGTACATGCGCTCCACTGTGAACACCGGCTTGCCCACGAAGTCCTGCAGGTTTTCAGGGGTCACCTCCACCGTCTCGGCCTCACCGCTCACGATCTTGTAGGCCGCCTTTCGAAGCACCTGGGCGGACAGGCAGGCGAGTGGGTGGGGGAGCAGGCAGCCGAGCAGGGACCTCTGGCGCCGGGACACCGCTCACCTTCTCCACCTGCTTCTGCAGGTTGCGCACTCCACTCTCGCGGCAGTACTGCTTGATGAGCAGCGTCAGCACGGGCGCCGACAGCCTGGCCCTGCTCTCATCCAGGCCGCACAGGGCCCGTGCCTGGGGCACCAGGTACCGCTGTGGGCAGGAGCAAACGTCACGGGGAGGGGAGGGCCCATCAGTGCCACCTGTCCCCAGGCTTTTGACCATGCCTCGTCCTGCACCCGGGTCCTCTTCCTACCCCACCCCATGTCACTGTGATGCCACTTCCTCCATGAGGGCCTCCTAGCTCCCAGGGCTGAGCCTGTTACCCACAGCCCTGGGATGCTTCCCGCCAGGTGGTACAGCTGAGGGCATCCGGGTTGCAGGTACAGAGCCACACTGTTGCTCCGCACTGGCCTGGTCCCCACCCCCCACAAAGCTCAGTCCTCTGGGAAGTCAGAAGGGGTGGGTTCAGACCTCCCAGAGGAGCGAGTGTGGGAGGACCACTGGCCTTCCAAAAGCAAAGCACCCTTCCGGACGCCCAGCTGAGAATCGTAGGCCCAGCGCCCTTCCCAGGCAGGGGCAGGAAGGACACGCCCTACACCTCCGCAGGCCCTGCTTGTGGGGAGGCTATTGGACCCAGCTTCTAGGCACCTCGGCTATGGCCAGCTTCTCCTGGGCCACATAGCCGGACACGTTGATCATCTCCATGCGGTCGCGCAGTGGCTCGGGGATGGTGTCAGTGACGTTGGCCGTGCAGATGAACAACACCTTGGACAGGTCCACAGGCACATCCAGGTAGTGGTCCAGGAAGTTGGCATTCTGCTCAGGGTCCAGCAGCTCCAGCAGTGCCGATGACGGGTCCCCCTGGTAGCCACGGCCAATCTTGTCCACCTGGGACAGTGACAGGAGACCAGGGCTGGGACACTGGGCCCTGGCTGAGGGCAGAGGGACATGGCCTCCTCCCTCACCACCAGCAGCACCACGGTGCTTAATTTCCTTTCTCGGTACTGGGGATTGAACCCACCAGCTCCTTGCCTGAGCTCTTTTAGAGGCAGGGTCTCACTGACTCACTAAGTTGCCCAGGCTGGCCTGGACCCTGCCATCCTCCTGCCTCAGCCTCC